TGTACAAAGTATGGGTTGTTGTGCATGACTCTGACAACCAATGTAGCATCGAAAACTATCTAAAAAGTGCTTCTCCAAAAGTGTGCACACCACTGTCCAGTCATTTTCCACATGCTTGAGCCTCAAATGTGATTATATTTGTTCAGCCGTGGTTATTCTAATTACTGCTTTTAATAATGTTTTATAATGACCATTATTGTAATTACTTTAATTACGTAGAAAAACATTGATTGTAATGTAGCGTTACATCCACTTGGCATGACGGAAAAGATGGGGAAGCGCACAAAAAAGGATTGAAGCTTTTGTTTAGTTTTTTTTTTTGAGTGGCCTTGCACTTGCTCGTGTGATCTAAGCTATTGATTAAACAATTTTTATCAGCAGCTCTATTTCTGTGTCCATTAATTTTTAGGAATATTTTAATGCCCATGTTAAAGTTGATTTCAGATGCATTTCATGTCAGGGGACAATACTTTCTGGTTTCGACCCACATAACCAAGATATTCCCAGTATATTGGATATACTTTTTTAGGTATAATTTAAGGTAATGACCTGTACTGTATAGCGCTTCTAGTCTCCGACACTCAAAACGCTTTAACCTACGTGCCACATTCACCCTTTCACCACATTCATCAGTGATGGCAAAGTCCATCGCAACACCCATGGTTACTGGTGGTAACAACAAGTGCAGATTAATGCTACAGTAAACAGCCCTTGGGCAGCAGCTGTATGTGTTTACTATGCAGCCCAACAGGTGAACAGTTGTTAAGTAATTGAAACACATAGATGGGTGGTATAAAAAAAATAGCTGGAAATGAATTTAGTGATCTGTTATGACAACATTTTAGACTTCAAGCTATAGTGACTTGAAAGCCACTATAGCTATTTCTATTCAGTGCTTTACCAGTGTGCCACAATAATGTAATGTTTTTAAGTTCAAATATCTTCATTTAACTATATTATATACAACTATTGATATATGTGATTGTTTGCGATTAATTCAGCATACATTGCGTCCATCCCATGCCACTCTCTTGCCACCCCATGGATATTTCTCTAAATCAGCCTCTGTGTGGGTCTCAAGTGGAAGTAAAGCAACATGCTTCATTATCCTCCCAAAATATGAAGCTGTGTTCTAAATACAGCTGAAAGTAAGCGGTATTAACAATTGTTTTGATGCTACGTGTATGTTCTATCTTAACAGTAGCAGAAAAAAGTAATGACCTGGAGATGATAAGTATTTAAATCAAAATACAAAACACTAATGGACCACTTGTCTACCTATGAACCAAGCTGCAGCAGTTGGCAAGCAGCTGGAATAGTATAGCTAGCACGCACTGAGTCTACTATCTGACTCTGGTACAGAGTGGTACAGAAGTAAGAAAGTACAAGAGTTCATATCAGTAGCAGCCAAGTCGAGCCCGGTCGAGTCAACCTTTAAGTAAGTTAAACTTTGTCACACAGCTTGTAGAGCTGTTTGTAACACTGTTTGAGGTCGTATTGCTTCCGTTTATATCGCTGACAGTGAGTTTTGTAACCGTAATCGTTTATCTTGACCAGCACTAGTTCACTGTGGCTTGCTTTTCTAGTTAGCTGTGGTCAGCACTTACCTCAAGGACAAATATGGTTATGGGAGAGTAAACAGCGATGGCGAATTACATGTTGCATTGTTTCCTATGAAATATGGGTGTAAA